AGACTATCATAATAAAAAGGGTAAGTATAAAGAAATCGTAATAAGTGAGGTGAATGTTGCCACTGGTTTAGCTATGATCCGAGTGAGGTTTATTGAAAATAAACTCTATTACTACATTTGTATCTGCATGAAATCCTATCGGAAAGGACGATTGCTTTATTCTAGTGCATTTTTTTATATTACATTTTATCATGTTGGATGTGTACATTTGCATGAATTTGAGAGCATCATGTTAATGTGTTTAATATATTGCATGCATAATGATTGATATTACTATTGTAAGGATTAACAATAGGCGTGTTCTCACTTTAGTAGATGAACTTGTAGTGAGTGTCAAGTAGTAATATAGAGTTAAGATGCTTGAGGATGCATTGGTGATATGTACGGAGGGTGTGGAGAATGACATTTGGATTACAAGAGGTAAAGTGATTAAATGTTTGGTCTATGTGTTATAATTCTAATCGGGTGGATTGAGAGAATGACACTCTTATCACCTCAATTAAGTGGAGACCCATTATCTACTTAAGTCAAGAGAGGTGAGGTAGTGATGGAGGAACATCCCATGGACCTAAGATCTTTACTGTTTACTAGTTAGGCATGGAGAGCAACAAATGTAGTGAGCATGGTTGGCTATAAGAGGAGAATTTGTTCTCTAGATACGAGCTACATGAAAAGGGTTAGGATAATTGTGGTAAGATCTTTTCTTAGGGTCATTTGTGCATTGGTTGTAAACGTTGACCATTTAATTGAAGTTAATTTGATGTTCTCCGTGTGTCGAACATGTTGAAAAGATTTGTGTATTATCATTGGTATGTTTCCATTGCATGTTTTATAGCTATGTCATTATGTAATCTTGATTGATTATTGTTTATATCTGATTATATAAGGTTCTTGACTTTAGCCTTTGGTGAGTACGCAGAACAAGTATGGTATGTGTTTCGGATCCGAGACACAAGTAAGGTTTGCAATTTCCAATTTTATTGGTTACCTTGATTATAAAAGTATAAAGTTGGTGTTGTTTGCTTATAGGTTCATTGGGCGTCAATGTAGGGATTTGTTGGATTTTGATACCCAATAAATTAGGCAATGATGTATAAACGTTTGGATTAATTTCATAGGCTTCGGTCGATGAATGAAATGTTTATCGACACCACAATTGATTGGGTCGATCCGAAAACAAATTGGGTCACTAAAAGAAACTATTAACTTGTGTTGCTCGTCGTCCATTCATTAATTGGACGATCCTTTAAATTGTTGGTCCACTTTGTGCTATGTCTTGGCCCAAATTTTTGTTTGGCCCATCCCTTTGACTTATCCTAAAACTATATATATTAGCCCCTTGTTTGTGAGAAAGCCGTGTGTTGGAAATTGAAAGGGAGGGCACCATTATTCTTGCTACTTTCTTCTTCCTCTTTGCGATTATTTGCATCCACCATTATTGATCCTTTGTCGTTACAAACAACTGTGCAACCATAGTGAGAATAGTTTGTGGGTGGAGCCCCAATCTATTGGGGTGTTTGATTCAATTTGTTATTGAAACTGTGCCCGGTTTGCACCAATAGAAGGTCCTTAAGTTGTATTGCCGCGACAGAAACTATTAAGATAATTTTTGTTGTAAGACAATTTCGTGACTTGAGAACAGTGGCGAATCCTAGATTTAAGTTTAGCTAGGGCGGACCTTTATCGTTGACTGTCGACAATCAACGATTGTAATAGCGAGTTGTTTATTAATATTTAATTAAATAATATTAAAAATTATTCAATATATATGTAAATGCACTAAAGCGTAAAAATTATATACATATGACAATATAATTCAAGGCAACCCAAAATACTAAGAAAATACACGGTACAACCTTACTCTGTAACTATAAATTTAGACTACTGCATTCTACGTGGTCTCATATTTTGAAAACGTTGCATAATATGTAAAATGCCCAAATTTATTTTATAATTACAATTGATTAAAAACAGATAGTTGAATTGAGCCCAACATCTTCTCAATTGATTTTTTTTCACTTACCCTAAATTCCTATACATAAATAATAAATTTCCAAATCACTTATCAGAACTCATAAATAATAAATTATAACTCATAACTCAATGACTTATACAACATAAATTGTTTCTCCAAAATCAAGATTCACAAATCACGTACTCACAAATCACAATTCTCATTTGAATGCCAAATTGTCAATTAACTCAAAGAACATAAATCATTATTCATACCTCACAAGTTATAAATAAAAAATAACACAAATTCCAAAGAGAAAAGAAATTATAAAAAACAATGAAGGAGACTCACAGATGTCTGCAGCTCACGAATCATGGCTATCGGAGGTCCGTCCGAGTTTCGACCATCCAATCTGGAGTTTATCGGTGACACGGTAAGCTGCAGCAGGAGGTGGATGAGGGTTTTTGCTCACAAGAGTCCCAACCAAGCTCATTGCGGTGCGTTCTATGTGTGTTTTCTTCTCATCTTCGTGAGTCATGGTATATATCATATGGATAATGGATTAATTGAATTTGGATCGAGCCAGGTTATTTTAAAAAAGGCCCACATTAGTATAGCCACTAGCCACAGTTGGAATAAGTCCCAACTTAAGAACAAAAAATAGACAAAAAAAAAAAAAAAAAAACTTGAAAGAAACCTCTGTCGCCGGTCTAGTCTTCTTCTTCATCATTCTTCCACTGTTCCGATAGAGCCCAAGACGCGTGGCCGCACCCCCTCACCGGGTATTGGGTCTTCCATTGCTTGAGAATACGACTCAAAGAATTGAA